CACCAGCCTTTGCAAATGCTTCCAATAAAACTTTACTTCTGACTAACCCAGAGAGATTTGTAGTGCTAGTTTCGCACAGTACCATGTCTTTAGCTATGAATACTGCAATAACATGGCAGTAACATTAAGAATCAGTGGAGTAACTGCAGTTGATCCATTAGGTAGTAGCTGTGGCTGAGATACAAATGAGAGAAGTTAGATAAGTGCTGTTTTTGTAGGTATTGTACTTGCACTCAAAAGGAGCAATGTTTGCATCTGTTGGGCCTTTGCAATGCAGCTTCTCCAACTTGGTGGTCTTTGAGTGTGCTGGTTGGGAATTATGGGATTGATTATTCCACAGGTTTGGTGGCTACCAGGTTAGGGAAATCAACATAAAGCATATTGGTGCCATGATACTTCAATGGTGGCTTTGACTGTGTCAGTAATGATAAATAATCTTGTCCTTATGATAAAGTGCATATTTATTTTTGGTATTTCATGCTTCTGACAAAGATAGAAAACATGAATCTCTGTATAACAAAGAGTTTATTTTTAGCTTATTATGAAGTAGTCCTTTCTAATTTTGTTAATGCACATAATGCAGCAGATTCTTTATTACCTGCCTGTATACATATTTTCTAGGATAGCTTGATGTAGGAATAGTTTCATTCATGTGGAAATATGTATATGTAGTGTTTCATTATATTTTTTTTATAAAATATTATAGTTTGACATCAAGAAAAGCAATAGAACACATAAAACCCCCCCATGAAAATAGATAAAAGAGTTAGAGACCTGATACCAACATGGATCTCATTTAAATCAAATTGATTTAACTGTCTTGTTGGGTAGATTCTTTTCATCATTTTCTAAAAAAATTGTTCTTATTTAATACCTCAGTACAAATATATTGGTACTTAGAGATAGATGTACCATTTTTAAAGAATATAGTACAAACACTTTGCAGATAGCTTAAGAGGTACAAGAATTTCATTAAAGTATTTCCAGTATGATTTTTTTATGGTCTGTTCCCATGCTAAGATTAAACTTCTACCAACTACTACAAATGCTTCCATAGTTCTCATATCAGTGGAGTGTACACTCCATTGTGGCATTTCTTAGGATTGTAGGAATATATTTCCTTTGTGTTAGTATTTCAGTTCCTCTTTCCAATTCCCTGCATTTATATTCCTCCCCAAATACTTCTTTGTCTTCATCCTTTTAGGAGAAGAGGTAAGGGTGTGATTGCATGTATGTACTCCAACTGCAGGGCTTTCTTTTTCTGTGAACAAGGTGTGTTCCTATAATATAATTCAAATACATTATTCATTTTAGTAGCTTTGAGCTAGGCTTATTTTTAAAAAATAAAACATTAAATTAAATGTAAAATCTGGCATGCTTTTCCAACTTGATTTGTATTCACCTTGTCTAGCTCCAAAATAAACAGTGTAGTGTTATGTAGAAGTTTAACCAAGGCAGCCTTTTGTGCATGAGTATGTATAATTTGGCTTTCCTCATTCTAGTTAAAGAATCTTTTCTGTTCCAAGAGAAGCAGCAAGAGACTTGAAGCTAGCAGGGCCAAGCAAGTTCTGAATGGCAGCCAGTCAGACTGGAGACAATGCCTAATTGTTTATAGTTGTTTTCCATTGAAGAAATCTGAAGGAAGTGTTGTAGGTAGTCTGTTTACCAAAAATGAAGATAATCCTGAATTTAAACCCCCAAAGGAAGAGTAGACAGAAAAAAAAATCCACATATGATTCTTACACAGTGCCCAACTTCCCAATCTTGGCAACCCGGCTTCTCAGTTCTAGAAGAACCCAATCTTTGGGATTCCTCCTGCCCAATAAATGAATGTGTGTGCCTCATGTCTGTATGTGCAGGCATTTGTGTATGTAAAAGTTTAGCCAGAAGTTGTAGAGAGTACGGAAGATGACCTTGATGGTGATATGCAAAAGCTGTTGCCTAGGCAAAAAGAGCTGAAGCATTTTTAAAGTCCAGAATGGCCAGATAACATTTGGAACTAGCTTAGACAAACTCCTCCCTAATTCATTGAACTACTTTATAAGAAAGAGGAGGAGGTACAGCACAAATAGGACAAGATAGGACAAATAAATAAATAAATTATTCAATAATTAAAGGTAAAACTTTGAGCTTGACTTCTGGGACTGACTTCCTGCAGTTTTCTTGGCAACATTGTGGAAGTGGTTTTCTGTTGCCATCTGTAGGACTTTTTTTTTCAACAGTCCAGCCTCCAGTCCTAGAATTTTTTTGGTGGGACTCCTAAGACTGCTGAGGCTGCCAGAAGAACCTGTGGACAAAGCAGTGGTCAGGCAGCTGACGAGAAAGAATCCCAAGGTCATATCCTCTCCTACGTATAGGTGGGAGCTCAAAGGCTAAGAGAGAAATATTAGGGCCAAAAGGACAATCCAGTTTAAAACTCAAGGCTCATCTCTCAACATAAATGGATAACTTAGTTCTGTGGTCCACACAAACCCAACTACTGCTACTCTCATTGACTTTGGCTAGTGATAGGGCAGAGAAAGAGCCATAGAATGAGGGAGGAGGTGCCGTAAAGCAGAGCAGGCATACAAATGCTTGTGACAACTCCATGATTATTTTTCCCTTTTAGGATTTAAATGAGCATTAATTGTTAATCATTTGTTATGAAATTAAGATGTTTAAGGTACTGTCTGGTAAAAAGGATGTTATGAAACATTGGAATGTGTGTTCTCCAGTAAAAATAATAGCTTTTTTTAAAAAAATGTGAAATAGATTCACATAGTACAAGATATAGATAGTCCTCTACTTATGAACTTTTGAGTTACAAACTTTTGCTGATACTAACAAACTGTCTGCAACTCCAATCTAGAAGGTCCCAGAAGGTGGGAGAAGCAGGAAAGGGTTAGTTTATGGTGCTCTGCATACGTACGTTTGGTAGTGCTGTCGCGTGTTGGGAGGCTGAGCATACGTCATTTTGGGCGCTACCCCATCCTGTCTGTTCAGTGATCTCATAGTGTTTAGTTTGTGATGTTCTTCCTTTGTGTAGTGACTGTGAATTACAGTATGTCTGGAATTAAGCATAAGAGTGATAATGGGAAAGGGGGTAGTGCTAAGAAGTGTCAATCCATGTACTTGATTGGACTTACAAACAAAATGGACTTATGAACAGCCTCTTGGAATGTAACCTGTTTGTAAGTAGAGGACTGCCTGTAGTGAAAATTTGTTTTGTATGACTTAGATGTTACACGTAGGATCCACTTTTTAACATTCTTGCTGTTTGTGTTGGAAGATACGTATACTAAAAACAGTAGAATATGAGCATTGTGCTGTATTCTAGAATTTGTTTTCATCTTATGTACATATACTGCACGGTGTTAATGTGGAATAAATATTTTTTTTCTCTAGCAAACTCTTGCTACTGAAGGAGAATAAAGACTACTGTACTGAACAGCGAGGAAGCTCAAAATTCAGAGGCCTGGGAAATCTCTGGCTTGTTCATAATAAACTTATATTTAGGGCTTAGCCTCTCTCCCTTTATGTGTTAGCTTAGTATTTTGCATTGATATGTAAGTGCAAATTATGACCTGTGAAAAGAGTAGATAGTTGTATTTTCTTTTGGTGAAGTTTTAACAAGAGGGAAATAACTGTAAGTGAAATTAACAGGCTATGTGTCAGTCATGAACAATTGTGGCAAATATATCAGCGGAGTTCCAACGGAGTGAATAAATTATGTTACATGAAACCTAATTATTGCTGTGATTATAAAGTTGGTGGTAGATATACTCCTGTTTTATTTCTTTTAAATCCTATTTCCCACCTCATCTGTGGTTACGGGGCAAGAAAGGTTTTCTATTGCTTTTTCTTTTGATACTAACAAACTTTGATGAAGAGATAAGGCACACAATATACTCCAGGAACCACCACTCTTTTTAGGCTGGTGAAATTTTGAGACCATCATTCTCCCCAAATGGCTGCTAGAAGATTTCGTTCATTCACAAAAATGGCCACCATGGAATATACCCAGGTACAAAGCTCTGAGATACCAGAATATTACCTGATACTCTCTCCTGCAAGGGG